AAAAAAAAAAAAAAAAAAAAATTAGTGAATGTGGTCTCTCAAAATACTGTACTGTTCTCACCCTTGTGATATGAGATGATTTACAATGACTACATGATGAGATGAAGTCAGTGGATGACTAAGCACTTGTCACACCTTGTGACTGTAACTTGCAGTACGAGATGTGACAGTAAAACTATCATGAATTTTTCCCTTATAATTTCATGGAGAGAAAATTTGTCTTCACTGTATATCTCAGCAGCTGTAGCATGTTTTTTCTTTCCTTTCTAACCAAGAACTTCCATCTTTTTACTTAAAGGAAACACTTTATGGCTAATTATAAGCATCTCCAAATTGTCACCATCACTACTCTAGTGCTTTACAGCCATTTATTTATTTATCTATCATTTATTTATTTTGAGACAGGGTCCTACTATGTATTCTAGGCTGGCCTTGAACTCACTATATAGTCCAGGCTGGCCCCAAACTCAGTTATCCTCCTGCCTCAGCCCCCCAAGTGCTGGGATTACAAGGGCACATCACCACACCGAGTTTAGGGCCATAATTAAGTAAAAGAGAACATGAGCTTTCTGTGATACCAGAGCAGTTAATCTTACATTGAGACAGCTGCTGAAACTGAGTGAAAACCTGAAAAAAAAAATCCTCTATCTTCACTCGCTCTTAGTTACTTGCTTTTAGTTCATGTTAAAAATCACTAACTTTGCAAGTCATGCAGTTGACCAATATATGTAGACTCCTACTAGGTATGCCTCAGTCATGTGGGTTATGATGACAACCATTGCCTAGGGTACATTTCAGGGATTTGAGGGCTGTTTTTGTCTGGACCACTGACTCACTCTTTGCTTGGGCCTTTGCAGGTGATGAATGGGTCACCCTTTGACCTTAGGAGGCCAAAAACTACTCTCAGAGTATGCTGACACTGCCATTTTCCAGAGATGCACCTGTGAAGAGCTGGGAATTTTGATTAGTGCAGACTTCCAATTGCTTCAGCTCCGATCAACTTTCCCCATCCTTCAAACCACCCTGCTTCTTTACCCCATAAAAATGCCTAAACTTCACCCTTGAGCAGGTGTGGGAGGGTGGATTTCAGAGATAGGTTTTACCCTTTGAGGTTTGCCACCTTCGGACAAACTCTCTGGTAAAATTCTGTTGCTTCAGTGATTGGCATACGGTGTGGCAGGCAGAACAAGCCTCGTTTGGTGACATGGTTAAGTGACAAAGGGCAGGTATCATATGCTGGACAAGGGAATGACTCATGTCCTGGGCAGGATGGAGCGGGAAAGTGTGATTTTTGTCATACTATTCAGAATGATGTACAACCTAAAACTGGTGAATCCTTTATTTCCAGAATCTTCAATTTAACATTTTTAGATCTAGGTTGAACATGGGTAACTGCAACTCTGGAAAGCAACCACAGATCATGAAACTGTGCTAAGAGTGGACTATTACATTCAACTGTGAACACTGTCCTGTCAGAAAAGGGAAGAATGACCCCAAAAGCCATTTATCAACTTTCAGGGCTGTCACTTCTTCCACAGGTGCAAGGCAGGCTTGAGGGCAGCGCCTACAGGGAGCTGTGGAGACAGCAGAACACAAATTATCTGTTTATGTGGAGAGTTTACCATTGAGAGAAGGTATCATAAAATGAGGGTGCAGGGACCCAGCAATTTCATTGGAGATACTCCAAAACACCACTGTGAGGTTTTTCACCTGAGGCCTTTTTATTGTTGTTTTTGAGACAGGTTCTCACATATATAGCCCAGGATGTTCTTGAATTCATGATCTTCTTGCCTCAGCCTCCCCAGTGCTGGGACTACAGGTGTATACTTCCATACCCAGCTTTACCTGAGGCATGCTGTAGGGTACACTTCTTTTACTACTTTTACTTGGTCCAAATTCACTCTGCAAAGCCTGTTTCTTTTCCTACCTTTAATAAACTTTGCTACTATTCATTCTTGTCTCAAACAATTCTTTGTACAGGACAGAAACAACCTAAAAACCACAACCAGAAGGAGATGCCAGCCAACCAAAACCCAGTAACATACTGAAACTTCTATACACTGTAACCAAATAAGCTTCTTTCCTTTAATTTGTAAGTGCTGGGAATCTGGTCCCAGCACTGAGGGAAGTAACTAAGATAGTACCTTTGGTTTTTCTGATTAAAAAGTAATGCATGCTCATTTTATAACCCATGATAAAAGACGTAACTCATAATCCCAAAACCAGATAAAACCACAGGTTTATGTTCCTCTACCAAATAGACTGGTGAGCCAACATTTTTAAGATGATAAATAAACAGAAAGATGTTATCTCTGGACAGCGGGATTAGTGATCTTTTTCTTCTTGTTGTATTTTCTAGTGTTTCTAAATAATTTTGAACTTTTAAAAAATTATTTATCCTTTTTCTTTTTCTTGCTATGCAGTTCAGGCTGGAACTGAACTCACTATGTAGCCCAGGCTGCCCTCCAACTCAAAGTGATCTTCCTGCCTCAGCCTCTGGAGTGCTGGGATTACAGGTGTGCACCACCACATCTGCCTGGCTTATTTTTGAATTTTTAAAGAAAAAATTGGCAACTTTAAACTTACATGTCTTCAGACTCGGAACCTTATAATTGCGAGGCAGGCCAGCACCACTGAGCTAAATGCCTGGCCCTGTCTTCCTTATATAATTTATGTAATTATATTCAAATTTGCCTTCTTTTTGTAATTTTTCATCATTGAAAACAAAATTCCCTAAGAATATAATAGTAAAAAAGCTCTTTGATATCTACAAATAAGATTCAATGAGTCCTAAGTTTCCACCATTTTGTAATTTGTGTTAAACCAAACAGGACCTAAGCCTTAGGAATTTCGTTTTTTTTTTTTTTTTTTTTTTTTTGGTACCAGGGATCGAACTCCGGTCCTTGCACTTGCAAGGCAGGCCACTGAACCGCTGAGCTAAATCCCCAGCCCTGGCTTAGGAATTTCATGGAAAAAGATACTCTTTAACTTTTCCTTTGAGCATCCTTTACCAGTTGGTTTGGAACTCTTTGGAGGTGTTAACTCTCCCAAACCTTGTGATTCTTGTCCACTCTCTGAGACCCTAAACCATGGGCATGCAACCTTTTAGTTTTCCTAGGCCACACTGGGAGGTATACTATCATCTGTAATCTTCTGTGTATACTCACCAAGTCACACAAATGCATGCAAGTTCTGATTACAGAGGTACTCAGTAGATTGTGTGGCTGGTGCAGGAGGAAGTTAGCACCTAATCATCCTGTTTGGCTGTCACCTACCCAGTCCACGTGGGAGCATCACACAATCAAGTCACGAAAAATATCTCTAAAAATAATGTTAAATTTGCAATCTTGTGGCCGCATTACTCGCTGTGGGCTAGATACACCTGCTCTAAACGTTATCAATCTAACAAAGTTACTAATCATCGGCTATGAATTGACATAATTAGATGTGAGGAACAGATGAATTCACATTTGTTTACCGATTGTTTTTATTTGTATTGTGTGGATATGTACTAGGGATTAAATCGGGGACCTCGGTCAATACTAAGCACCCACACTACAACTGAAGTAAGTCTCCAGACCCCAACCATTTTTAATCCCCTGAAGTAAATCGAGTCTGTATTTCTATAGGTACAGTATTTCACAAAGGCTGCCTCTTTAAAGATCTCACATCAACACTTCTACCTTCTACCCAAATGCCCTACTGATACTTCAAAAGCTGGTTATCAACCTTAGCCAGGTCTATGTGCTTAACCAGGACGATGACTTCCAGGAGAAAAAGGAAGGGTGTCGGCCTGTTGGTCCCCAAAGTCTCTCCCGCTCCTAATAGAATCAGCGCTTCCGCAGTCCACCCGGGTCTTCAGTCCGGAATATTTGGAGCAGTGAGTCCCCCTGCACCCTTAGCGACCTGAGCACGGCTGACCCTAACTTTCTGAATAACGCTCGCTAGCCTTCCGTGCGTCTGGTCTCTGGGGAAAGCCTCGCTTTAATCTTGAGGCTGCTGACTCCAGGTGCGAAGACTTACACTCACACTTCCTTCTCAGGGCCTTGGTCACTCCCCTTGCTCCGCCCAGTCCCGCACACCCGCCAGGGAGTGGCGGGTGACGCACTGGCGGCGGGGTACCCTCTGCGCACGCGCACCGCCCCGCGCTAATTGAGCGGGCCGGAAACCCGAGGCCCAATCAGAACTCGCCTAGCTCCACGCCCCCGAGCCTGGCGGGCCTTGGCCCTCATTTGGGCAAGGGCCGGGAACACAGTAACTGGTCAGCCGAATCGGTTCGTTGGAACTCCCTTCCCGGCACGGTCTCGTGTCTTCTCCTGTATGAGGAAGGCCTGGCATCGCTGTTTTTTTGTTTTGTTTTGTTTTTACTCTTGGGTCGCTTCTGCCCTTCTCAGGATAGAACGGGCCTAGATTGTGCTCGGGTTAATGGAGATGTGTAACGCGGTTTTCTTTTTTTTTTTTTTTTTTTTTTT